GAGAGGTTTTAAGTAACCTTTTATCTAGACGGTCACAGGCAAGGTGCAAGCACTTGGTTACAAAAAGTGCCATTGCTTTAGAAAATCCATTTTAATTTCACATCCAAGAGGTCGTGATGGCAAGAGTCTTTAACAAATTTTGGGTGGTGTCATGGGAATGTTTTTACTGAAAAAGGCAAATATACCCACCATAAATCTTTTCTGTGAAATAAACCAAAAGGTTACTCAAAAGCTTTCAGAGCAACTGGAATTTCTATCTACGTGCACAACACAGGGGTCCTGGGATTCCAGAACATCATCAGTCCTGATGGCTATATTCTTAAACATTGATCTATCACTATCCTTCAAATTGCCCCTTCTCCCTTATCTAACTTAAATAACAAGATAAGCTCCAATACTCCTGGGCTTTGCTAAATTAGTTTAAATATTTCAAGTTCTGCCAAGTCCCATTTCTTCCCCCTTTTTGGGTCTTGACTAAAAAGGTGAGGAACTACTTTGGAGGACACCTCAGGGCCCAGCTTTATAAATCTTCATCTGCTATTTTCCAAAATGTCACACACTCTAAAGTCTACAACAGAAACAAACAAGCAAATAAACAGCTCAGAATCAGACACTCCTCTCTTTTCAAAGGTACTTTCACCTTCTATTAAACCACACAATGGTCGATCCTGTGTCTCTGTGGCTTTCAAATACTGCTGTCAGATACTAACACACACAAGCAGAGAGCTGGACATGCTCGTGTGGCTTAGGGCCCTGCTTTGGCCTGTTTGTTTGAAGGGTAGTGGGCTTTTCTACATGGCTTCAATGGCACCACAAGGGTGGTTGCATCGGTGCCATTTTCATAAACTCTGCTTGGGAACAGACAAATGTGGCCCTATACACGTAGGCTAGAAGATGCAACCTGAGCCAGCAGAACGTTGCTTTGGAAAAGGCTTCCTATTTCAGTTCCAAACCACACATACTTGTACAGTTAACAAATGCAGTGGGGGATATTAGTCCACAGCATTCGTGTCGCGGCCAAAGGCTCTGCTGTCCTCCGCCCTCCTCTCCCCTCCACCCCCACCTGCCTTCCCAAGAACTGTTTGATTGCAGAGAAATTTCAGAGGAGAGGTAGGTGGCCGTTTCAGAATGTCTGCTCACTCCAACAAGGAGAGGAACTTGGAAGTCTTTAAATCTAAAAGAACATAAGGAGGGGGGTTCCCTATAAATAAAATCATGTTCAAATAAACACAAAAAGGAGCCAGTGTTTCCTGTAAGGCCACGTTTCAGATGGATTACTGGAAGGAGTATTCTTTCACAGTTTTATGGCTTACTTTGCTATCATCTGCTTAAAATTTGGGTCATTTAAAACATAGATGCTAAGATCTAAGCCTTCACTTGGATGAAATATTACAAAGGAAGCAGAAAGTCTCATTCCAAGTGCAGACTCAGAGGCAGGACTCTTGGACTCTTGGGTTCTATTCCTGGCTTGGTCCCTGGGCTAGGGTCAGCCCTCGGTCAGAATCTCACTTCTAATCCCTTCAAATCATTTGTTAGTCCCTGTTGTCTAAACAGTGGGGAAAAACCCTGAGTAACACCCCTGGATCTTGTTCAATCAACTGGGATGGTCAGAGAGGGTTATAACTCACTTCCAAGAAACCAGGGTGATTTATCCCTTGGGTAGAACCAGTATGCTCCTAAGAGATCACACTGTCATCAGAATAAACCTTTAAGGCACCGAAACATTTCTCCACCTGCAAGCATGTCTGTGTTCTTTTAATGTGACTCAAAAATAGCACCCCCCAGCATATTTATGGTTCTTTATAGCTTCCACACTAAAATAACTCTGGTTGGGCTTCAGGGCCCTGAGAGGTAGGATAAATAGGTATCTTTAGCACCAATATATAGATGAAAGCATTGAGGCTTAGATAGACTAAGAGACTTGACCAAGGACCCTAAGCTAATACATGAAAAGAAGCTGGGGCTTAGCTCCTGAGAATGCTAAGGTCAAGTGCTCTGTTCTAACACAGGGCTCCTCGTTAATAACCCTACTTTCAAAACTGGGCAAATGGAGAGAGTAACTGGTGAAAGGGTTACCACTTAATCCTTCAGAAGAATCTGTAATGCTTTTTTCATTCAATGAAGGGCACTGTGATCCATCTAGTCCTCCAACTAGCATGGGTTTGGCACGTGCCCACTCACTTCTATAACTTCTGCCATGGTTCTCCCACTCCTGGCACTTTCAGGCATAGAGAGGAGTTGAAGGAGCTCTCCTTTGAGCTTCCCTGTGCACAGGCCCATGACCACCCAGCTGCTCCTCGCTTATCCCCACAGCTTTTTGGGGACGAGTGAATGGCTAGGCAGATCACTGTTACAGGAAATCTGCAGTTAAAGTTCAATTAGACTGCCCACTTACTGCCTGCTTTGAGGCAAGCTGCATAGCTTTATTGTGTCTCAGGTGCTTCATCTACGTGGAAATGGAAAACATAAATGGGCTATGACGAGGAATGAGTAGTACTGACTGCGAATGGTTCCATAGCGCCTTCACTGGGTACAGCTCCAAGTGCAGCGCACCTGGCAGGGTGTGGTCTCTGCAGCTGAGCTCCTGAGAATGCTAAGGTGACAGGCTGAAGGAACCAGAGAGAGAAAATGTGGTGCTGGCCAAGATGCAAAATCATGTCAGATTCAGCCACACAAGGAAATTGCTGGTAATGGGAAAAGCCAATCTGGATGAGCAGGAAAGAAGCTGTGTAGCACACCATACCTTGATACCACCTGAGTCTGATACATGCCAGGACATCCTATAAGGACCAGCCAGGCCCAGGCACTACAGTGCAGTGCAGTGGAAGGGTGCTGGTCTGAGACTGGCCCTTCCAACTCCGGCCAGCTGTGTGGCTGTGGAGCCACCATGTGATTTCTCTGATTGCCTTTGTCCTATCTGTAGTATGAATAGTCCTATTTGTACTAAATGAAGTATGGAGAGATGGCACATGTGCAGGTACCTAGACAATGTTTGTCACTGAGCAGCGCTAAGTCTCTTCCTTTTGATGTTGTACATGCACTCCCCCTTTACCTGGCATGGGATTCTTTCTTCTATTCACCTGACCAACTTCTGCTTCTACTTTAGGCTTCATCTCAAATATTACTTCCCCAGAAAAGCCTGTCTTGACTCTACTGACTACTAGGTTAGCCACTGTCCCCTTCCCCTTTTCTACAATTTGGTCTCACAGCACCTTGCAAATCCCTGTGCCATTTATCTCAATTTCAGCAAAGAATTATTTACATATGACTGTTCCATGTATGCTGACTTAGTTATAAGCTATTTGAACTAGGGGCAATCTTGCTTTCTGCTTTATTCCCAACCCTGAATTCACAGGGAATTTTCAATCAACATTTGCTGCCTGGAAATTAATGAAAGCAGGTAACATACCAGCTGATGCCATGTCAAACCTTAGAATGCAATGCTGGGTAACTGGCCAAACAACAAGAATACCTTTCTGTGTGCAACAAACAGCTACAATTACTTGTGCTCACCCAAAGAACCCAAAACCTCATCAAGTGACAATGTATAAAATTCAAGTGATTTCTTTCTAGTCAACAGCACAAGATAACCTTGAAAAATGTTAACATATACACTTCAAACCCTTTTTGAAACAAATCAATAAATCTCTTGACCATGTGGGGATTTTAAGAATAAGGATGGGTCTCTGGGAATTCTTAGGGGCCTTCTACCTTATTCACACTTTGTTAGGTCTTACTGTGTTAACAAAACCTTGGAGATGAGCAGAAAACCTTGAGCAGAAATGGAAATACTAACTTAAAATACTTTCAAAACTTCCCTACTGCCTGCCCCACCCCACAACTTCATTAATGCTTCAAAATATACTCAAGGACTGTTTTAGCTTTGTATCTGAGAATAGAATATAATTTAACTAAAGTAAACTTGACAGATCCTTTTTTTAAAAAGCAGCTGCTTCCAGATGGAAGACATTCTGGCAGAACACATTTCATGGTCCCAGTTGACAATTCTGAGCATTTCCCCTAATGCAGTAATGTGTCATCAGTAAGGTTTCCCAGTGACAGACAAATGGATTCATTTTAATCAGGGACGATTTTATTTCAAATCCTATTTGAGGGAGAATTAGGGTGTGGACATGGTCTAGGCATTAGGCATTCTAAAAGGGCACATTAATTCACCCAGGGAACATCTATTATCCAAGCAGCACCAAAATCCTTCTGGGCTTAAGTGGAGTCCAGCTTGGCTGGAAATTGTAACATTCATTATACCCTTTGTTGATAAGAAACCCCAATTAGTCCCTCTGGAAAAGGGAGGATAAAGCAGGCCACTAAAATGAACAGCTAAATTAAAGTGGTTGGGTTCTGTGGGATTTGGAGTTACAGGGGCTCTCCCTGACTTCCAGTCTTGGCTAGATAAGACAAGGCAATGTCTCATAGCAGAACTTGCTGAGTTGGGGGGCTCTTTTTATTTTGCGGTTAGGGGACTGGCTGGAACTTTCAAGTGAATGGAAAACTAAGAAGGAGCAGGTCCATATGGTGAACAGTAACCACAGGGAATCGAGAACTATATAATGGATACCAGGAGCAAGGACCCAGCCTTCAGTGTGATGGTTTTATCATGGGCATGTGGGGGTCTAGTTGATTTGACAAACAGGAAGCTTCTAATGGCGTAATCCTATTTCTGACATTTCTGTTGAAGAAAAACAACACAATATACTTCGTATTAGGTGGGCAGAAAAGTTATGACACATTTTTGCATGAAAAAAGAAACATAGATTAAAAAATATGTCATGACTTTTCTGATGGCCCAATATATAAATTCATGCCAGGATTTTATGCCTCGTTTTCATGAATATATGTTAAGGAGGTCAGAAATTTCAGTTACAAGTATTCAACTTACAAACATAACTAAGAGAGAATGAGTAGGATCAAACACATCGGATTAGGAGAAACAGCAGACCTGGGCTGGAAACTGAAAAGCCACTCTCACCATGACCACTGACCTGGGGCCACTGAGTGTGGCTGTGTCTCTCACTGCCTGTGCTGTTTCTGATGCGAAATCCAGGGCGCCTGCCACTGGCTTGGTTACAGTGCCAACAAGCCCTTTTCCAAGGCCAGATATGAAACCGCTGACACCTCCTTCTGTTTTCACACCTTCTACTGTTGAGGTTATAACACTGGTCAATCCACCAATGATACCTAGCAAAAAAGACAAGAGCTATTGTAAGCTGATCAAGGACAAAAAGAAAGCATTTAAAACCAACCTCAATTCTGTACACCTAGAATGACAATTTAAGGGCATCTGTTAATCTCTGTGCTGGAAGGGTATAGACAGGCCAACTCAAAGACAGACAGGGAATCCAGCAGACATGTTCATTAAGTCCAGAGTCTCAAGATACGTACTGCATGTTAGAGGTAAAGTGTGTTGCACTTTAAAAAATTCAAAGAAAAGCTGAGAAGTGAACAGTTTTTCAATTCTAGAGCTTGGGTAGCATACAGACAATCAGAAGAGGATGCAGACAGCAGGATTAATTTAACAGGGACTAGAACATAGGGCCCTTAGGGAGAGTTAGAAGAAATTGGGGTCTTATGAAATATAAGGCAGACAGATAGCTAAATACGTGTTTTCACTTTTCAAAAAACACTATGTGACTGGCCAGTGTTTTCACTTTTTAAAAAACACTATGTGACTGGCCAGTGCCACCAAATGTTTGAAACGGGGTAAAAGCCAGCATAGGCTTTGCTGAAAGCTGCTACACAGGGAACACATTCCAAGGACCTCTGTGGATTCCTGAGATTGCAGATAGGATCAAACCCTATAAGCGCCATTTTTTCTTATACATATATACCTATGATAAAGTTTAAGTTATAAATTAGATACGGTAAGAGATAAACAACAATTACTAATAATAGGATATTGTAACAATATAGTACAAGAAAAGTTATGTGAATATGGTCTCTTTCTCTCTCAAAATATCTTGAACTTTACTCCCTGACTTTGGACCTCAGCTGACCTCAGGTAACTGAAACCTTGGAAAATAAAACTGTAGATAAGGGGGAAGGCAATTACAGTACATGAAGATTTCATAAAGGACACCTAAAAAGCTGCTAAATCTATCCAGGACTCTCCACAGAGTCGACTCTGAAAGTTGCCAGCAATGGCTGAAAGAGTCTCAGAAGTGGCCAGAAGTTGGCCAAGGCTGGAAAGGTCACAGCATTGCAGGGAAGAGGCAGGCCTTGTCCAGGGAGCATTTCCAGGACTTGTGCCAGGGACACTCACAGGATGTTTACCCTCTGACAGTGGGGGTGTGAGGGAGCTCTCTAGACTCTTCAGTTCTAGTGAGACAAATTGGTAAAGGAAACTCCTTGGGCGAGAATATATTAACAATTCACAACATTTCTTTTAGATTCTAGGCCCATTAGCTCCAGTGAGGCAGTAGCCCTTTCCCAACCGTTGGAACAAAGTTCTTGCCAGAGCACGCAAAATACAGGAGAGTGCAGACCAGGACCTGAGGGACAACACTACTGAACCCAGGTTAAACAGGGTCTGCAGAGAGAACTGAGCACAGCTGCAGGTTTTAAAGCCAGGAAGACTAAGCAGAATCTGGTTCTTGTTATCTTTTAAAGGCCTTTTCATTCTGAAGGAAGAATTTGACTCTAGGCTTCTGCTTTCACATAATCGAGGGCTGCATGGATCCTCCTTGGATCCATGACTACTGGTTTCTGGTCTCAGATTGACCTAACTGGCTCCTGAAGAGCTGTACATATTATCTGTACAATCCTTGGCTGGAGGTGATTTTAAACCTTGGTCAAACCACCCATTTTCTCAGCACATTGATGTGTTCATTTCGAAAGTAAAGACAGGCACACTTTCTCTCTATATCCCAAGGATAAAGACAACTGATACACAGAAAGTACATTTCAAATACATTTGTAAAAGTCCTCTAATGGGGGCCAGCATGTGGCACAGTGGTTAAGGTGCTGAACTCCCACGGATGCCAATAGTTCAAGTCCTGGACCTGGTGGCTTGAAAATCATGCTGGGCATGTATGTGTGTGTGTGCCCAAAATCCTAGGAGAAGAATGAAGGAGAAGGGGATAATTTCTCACTTTTCCTCTCACTGTCTCTCTCTCTTTGGCAAGCACACATGCCCTATGCCAAACACACAGACACAGTAAATAAAAAGTCCTCTAATGTCTCAACACATCCTTATTACAGCAACTAGAAGATTAAATTTTTAGCCCCAAATTATTGCCCAACAGGCGACCTTTAAAATCTATAAACAGACTCATTTCAGCCAAATTTTACTTCCAGTCTGATGTCTCCTTGGGGGGCTACTCCCTTTACAGTTAATTGGGCGGCCTTAGGAAAAGCTAAGATAATTTGACCCAAAACTCAACAAGAACATTGTCCTAAACACTGTGTCCTAAGAACAAATAGAAAGATTGGGGGAGTGGGGGGAACCAACAAAACCGAGAAAACAAACAAACAAAAACTACATTCCTTCTTCTCCAAATGCAGATAATCAAGCCTGATAAGTACTGAAAAAATTCTGATGGCTTGAGGTGATTCTTAAGGATCTGGCATAAATAGCTCAAGTTACTAACAGTTAGCTATGAGCTACATGCCAGGAGCTATGTAAGGTGCACAAGTATAAAGGTAAATTTACAACCTGGCAAATAGCAAGACACACACAGCTGGCTACATACATACCCCACACTGCCATGCCTGCTCTGTCACTCTAACTGGGAGAGTGGAGCTGGTTACACAGCATTTCAGTTGGAACTGACAAGCTGAGTAGAGTTCTGAGAGGCAATGGAGTGAGGCAGAGGAGGGGAGGGTAGAAGAGCCAAAAGAGAGCAAGGGGAGCAGAACATAGGGGACAGTGGGTGGAAAAACTGATGATTTAGATGTTCAAGGGCTCTCAAAGCTGTGCTAAGAAGTTGCTGAGAAAAATGCAACAAAATGAGCCATAATTAAGGCATTAAAAGTTGGAATTTAAACAAATTCAGAGACTGGATATGTTTGTGCCATCATCTTCAAATTTTAGGCACATGAATTTATAATCCTGGTGAATGTGTGTTTATTTATTTATTTTTATCTTTCTTTTCCCCTTTTTATTTACTTATCTTAAAATATTTATTTATCTATTTATTTATTTCTATTTAATACATTTAATCACTGTGTATCATTATGGCATACCAATTGAATCTTCCCATCAGGAATACACTGCATATTGGTCCAGTCACAGATATTAGCATAAACATTATAAACAACAGATTTATTTCCATTTTGGGTCCCTTAAATGTTTTTTTGTTTGTTTGTTTGTTTGTTTTTTTGAGAGGTTTTCACTATAGGGCGCATGCGCTCACCAGAAAGAGAGAGGCAGAGAGATAGAAACCGAGAAATCACCCCCCAGGGGGGATGGCCACGCCGCAATCCCTTCTCCTCCATTCTCCTCTTGGGATCTTGGGCATGCATGCACACACACCCGACATGAGTTTAAGCTGCCAGGTCCGGGACACGAACCGTGGTTGACTATGTGGGAGTCCAACGACACAGCCATTACACTAATTGCTGGTCCCGGGTCCCTTAAATGTTCTGATGGAAGAGTTACTGCTAAGTGAAGCAAGCCAATGAGAGACAGGAATTGTATGTCCCCACTAAATATATTTTGAATGTCAGCACACTAAGGCAGAAACAGAATGACTGGGAGATATAAAAACATGGAAAGCAACGATGATACTGGAGACAGTGGGGTAGGAAGGTGGGAAATAGGAGAAGGTGAGAGGGAGGGAATCAAGGGAAAGAAGAATGTGTATTTATTTTATTACAATACATGGGGTAGGAACCAGCAGTTAGTGTAATGGCTATGTTGCTGGTCTCCCATGTAGTCGACCGTGGTTTGCGTCCCGGACCCGGTGGCTTAGAACTCACACCAGGCACGTGTGCGTGCGTGCCCAAGATCCTGAGAGGAGAATGGAGGAGAAGGGATTGCGAAATCACCCTGGGGGGTGATTTCTCGCTTTCTGTCTCTATGTCTCTCTCGTCTGTCTGGCGAGCGCACGCGCCCTATAGTGAAAATCTCTCCAAAAAAACCAAAAAAAAAACCAAAACAATACATGGGGGCCACAAACCTGGCAGCCAATTGCACATTTCCATTTCTTTAGAAGGAATGATCAGTAAGCAGAAGGAAGAGTCTTGAAGTAGGAGTTGCAGATTCTAAAAAGGGGTTCAGTTGATTATGGGGAAATAAAGGTCAGAGAAGAAGAGACTGCAATGCGGCTAACACTGAAGCAGGAGTTTCAGATTCTAAAAAGGTGTTCAGTTGATTACGGGGGAATAAAAGCCAGAGAAGGGGAAAAAACTGCAATGTGCCTAACATTCTGAAAATGGATAAGCAGCTCTCATAGGCTGTCAGAGTTCAGTTACCAGAAGGATACAACAGTAGGGTTTGGAAGGCTATCAGGTACACCAAGATAACAGGCCATTGTTTTCCTCTGTGGTCAGCTTTCTTCTTTCTACTTGCAAATGGATGGCTGCAAAGGCACCCCTGAGGGACTGTGGCAGAAGAGCCGTTCTTCTACAGCTGCTACCATGTAACTTACCATGAGCCAGGCCGTGGATGCCAGCTACAAGGTGCTCGCCACTGGTGGCCGCGTGGTACCTGATGTACTCCCGTTCTGACTGGTGCCGATTGTCCATCGTCTTCCCTAAGCCATCTGATAATGTCCCTGCAAACTGGAATGAGTGAAGAACAGAAGAGTTTTATAACCTCAGCATTATTTTTATTGCTTTAATTACTTTTAAATAAATACTTTCTTTTACTCTTAGTTAAGAAACAGTGTCTGCCCCAGGAAAGTGGTTCTCAGACACTGAACACATGCAGATTGAGGGTTACTTGCAGTGGTGGAAACGAGGCTTGCAACACAACTACTAAAAAGCCCTGATACTACTGTTCATGCTACTACAGTTCAGTTTCTGAAAAACTGTCCTGGGGGAGGAGAAGGGAGCTTTGAGATTACAAACTGGTAAGAACATAGACCCTTTGGCTCTAAGAATCAGTGGTATTCTAAACAGGAAGTATGTTAGACTGTTGCTTTAGGGTTTGGTATAAAAAACATCAACCACCCTCAAGTCATGCCTTCTTTCATTCATTCAACCATTAAGGAGTGCCTGTTAGGTGCCAAGTCCTATTTGTCAAAAGAAAAAAAATGAAGTATACAGAAAGATTAACAGCTTCTGTCATCTTTCATAGGAAGCAGCAGACTTGAACTCATGACTTCAGATACAGTCCATCCTCCTCCACGAATCTGAGAAATTTTATTTATCCTGGCATACTTTAACCAGAGAAGCTGTCCTATTCATCAAAGCTGGATAAAAAGGACATAAAACTCTGTTTTGTCACAAGACAATTTGAAAAGGTTTAAAGTGACAGTTAATAAACCACAGGGTACTTATCCTCATCATTCAGGCATAAAAAGAGAAGGATATCAAATATATAATTAACCTTCTCAGGAAGGATCTACCAAAACAAGTGGTTTAAGTGCCAATGACCCAGGACTAACCTTTGAGAAAACTCACAGGAATGTTATTTAGATATAAAGCTCAGTGGAAAGACTCAAAGTAAACAGCTTGCTTAGAAGACCCAGTACACTAGGTAGCCATCTGGGGGCCTGTTTCGATCTGATTTGGCGGGGGTGGGGTGAAGGTGGGGTGGCGGTGGAGGGTGGAGTAGGTTGATGGGGTGTGCATGTTACACACATCAGATCTGCCCTGGAAACCATCAGAGCTGAGACTTCTTGACACTATTGACTTGTGAGTTCTGGGGACAGAAAGGGACTCAAGGGAGAAGCAGTTCCATGTAAAGCAATGGTTACTGGAGAATCCATGAGGGTACTTACTTGTTTTACTCAGTCTAAATGCTCTTACAACAGAGGACAGTGACTATGACCTTTCTGGAGATATAACCCCTGTCATGACTTGTTTACTTTGGACCCGACCTTCTACATCATTCTAATTAGATAATTAAAATTAATGAAAATTAATTTTACAATTTCCTTTAGGGCAACTGGAGACACCATGGGATGTTGTAAAGCCAGTACTATAAATTGCTGAGTACGTGCTTTGGTCAGTGACCCCATTTGAAAACTGCTTTGGTACAGAAAGGTTCTAAGCCTAGACATCTGGAAGAACCTGACTCCAGTCCTCTCTCAATCATTCTGGTAGCTGTGTGACCCTGAACAAGGCACCCTCTACATCTGGAGAATGGTGCTTGTACCTACTTTGTCATGCAGCTATAAGGGTTAGTGGAGTGGCTCAGGGTCTGGCATTCTCACTTTTGTTACCAGTGGAAGGAGGAACATCCTACGTTGTTGAAAGAAGGGCTTCCAGGCTTTAGAATACTGGCCATTTGCACTAGGGTTTAACATAAGACAAAACAAACAAACAAAAACACCCCTCTTCTTCCAGCAGATAAACACCAGTCTCCAAAGTGAGTTTCTGGAGCGGCACCATCTACAAAATCAGTGTTGGATTTGATGATCTCCAAAACCCTTTCCAGCTCTGACAGTGTATAATTTTCAAGCCAAGATAGAATGTCTTTATTAAGCACTTACTCTGGGCCAGCAGAGATTTAGGTACTGCTGAGGATACAGATGACAGCCCTGGAGTCTATTCTCAAGGAGCTGTGCGTCTCATTAGGAAGATAACAACTACACACATGGAACAGTCAGCAACAAGAACCTGGAAACAAACTACGTACTCAGGAATCCTGGGGGAGAAAAATGTGACCTTTGAAAAGGGACCCAAGTAGTCCCCGCTATGTTCTAATATTATATAGAATCAATGTTCTCTCACTCGCCATGCTCCTCATTCAGTGTCTGGACAACCAAATTGCTATACATCATGTAGATTGTGAAGAGACTCCGCTCAGTCCCCACCCAGTCTCTTCACAGTCTACATGATGTATAGCAATTTGGTGTAAGAATAATAATAAAAACATATATAAATTTAAAAAAATGCCTCTCTCTGATGACTCAGGAGTAGTGAGACCATGAATATGTGAAGTGTGCCCATGCTACGTGTGTAATCTCCACAAGGCATGTGCTCCACCTGAAGAGGCTCAGGAGCACCCAGGCTACTTCCAGGGTCTTATTTGGTTCTTTCTTGATTTTCTCAAGCTTTTACTATCCTTGAGAAGGAATATTTCCTTGAAAGAGAGATTAAGGTCCCTTTTGCCTATTTCTGGCAGTTGACTTGAAAAAAGTAAAAAATAAAAAAATTCCCATAACACACTCCCCAAGAGAATATGGGAAAATAATCTAGGCAAACTGCCCAGTATCATTCCTTCTCCTTCTAATCACCTTGTTAATCAGAGAAGTTGAATATTCAAGGCTTATAGTGAAGCTGTGTCAAAGCTTAGTTGCCCACTGACTCTGCCATGGTGGACTCGGCACTTCCAGAACTTTCTGGTTCCTAGGTGTTCTCTGTATAAAGATATTGTATTGACCCAAGGAAGATGGATAACAATGACTGAAGAGATTCCGCTTACCTCTAAATAAAGGATTCTTCTATGTGCTTTTCATGCACCTCACTTTTGCCATGGGAAAGCACTTATACCTCATTCAACTACTGTCAGACTTCCAGCTGGATTCCCACTTACCTGTCTACAGAAAATTATTTGTGCAGAGCCCAACACGCAGTGAAAAGCCAGAATCCATGTGCATCTGAGGTGGGCCTAGCCCCGTCCCTTTAACCGGAAAGCCTCTGCCCCAAACCTCTCCTTCCAGTCCAACACTCAGCAAAAGGCCAGGTAGGAAGTAATGTATAATCCATCAGATGACCAGAATCCACCATCGCAGAGGCATAAGAAATATGAGAAATCAAGAAAATATCTCTCCCACAACAGGAAAGAGCAGCCAGCCCTTCACCATCCACAGACAGTACAATGGAACTCCTGGAAATGTCAGATAAAGAATTTAGGATATTCATAGTGACAAAGCTAACAAAGATTCAAGGGAAGAGAGACAACAAACTCCAGAAAATATAGGAGAAAAAGCTCCAGGAGGTGAGGAAGTTCTTCCACGATCTGAGAGAGGAAATTATACACCATAAAAAAGAATCAAACAGAACTGTTAGAGATAAAGGCTGTAATACAGAAAATCAAACCTCCAAAAACAGATTAGATCATGCAGAAGATCAAATCTCAAATGTAGAAGATGGAACCTCTGACCCAGAAAAATTCAAAAAGACTGAAAATAACCCCCAAAATGAGAATAATATTCAAGTATACTAGATACCATTAGACGCCCAAACATCCGGATAATCGGTATCCCAAAAGGTGAAGAAATTAATCAGGGCATTGATAATCTAAACCATGAAATCCTGGACGAAAACTTTTCAAGCCTAGAGAGTCATTCAAATATCCAGACCCAAGAAATACAAAGGAGCCCACACAGAATCAATCCAAAAAGATTTTCTCCAAGGCACATCATAGCCAGATTGACCAAAACCATGGACAGAGATAAGATACTAAAATTGGCAAGAGAAAAACATCAAGTTACTTTCAAGTAAGAAACAATGCAAGCAAGGAAAGAATGGGGAAATATATTCAAAGTGTTAAGTGAAACACAATTTTAACCCAAAATACTGTATCCGGCAAGATTATCCTTTATGTGGGAAGAAAAGATAAAAACATTCTCAGATAAACAAAACCTGAGAGAATTTACCAACACCAGATCAGATCAGCTCTTCGAGAAGTTCTGAAGGGAGTACTATACCAGGAAAACTAAAGACAGACAGACAAGTAAGAGGACAAAAAAATGGTCAAGAAAAAGTCCAACTTAATGGTAAAGACAAGCTCTGAAATATCAATAATAATGTTAAATGTTAATGGAAAGGTCAGACCACAGTAACACTGCAAATTCAACAAAAGAGAGATTACCCAAGACTGAACTGGTGAAATAGAATTCTATGACTTTTGTCTAAAACATTATTGATTTCCTTCTACAGTTTGTCTTATAGATTTAAGGATTTTTGTTTTGAGTTGTTGGGTTCAGTAATTTGTTAAAAAAAGAATTTTTAAAATAGAAACATAAACTTTTCTCCCTTCTGGACTCCTTTCAATTTTTTTTTTTCCAAATAAGTTAGTTTACACCTCTCTTTAGTACAAGGGGGAATGGAGAGAGAAAAAATTGTTTCAGAAGAAAATTACAGTGCATTTGCCATAGATTCTAGCCTTGTCCATACTTTAAGATCCTTTTGGGGATCAGCGGTTAGCGTAATGGCTATGTCACTGGACTCCCACGTAATTGACCATGGTTCAAGTACTGGACTTGGTGGCTTAAACTCATGCCAGGCACTTGTGCGTGCGTGCCCAAGACCTGAGAGGAGAATGGAGGAGAAGGAATTGCGGCATGGTCATCCCCCCTGGGGGGTAATTTCTTGTTTTCTGTCTGTCTCTGTCTTTCTGGTGAGTGCACACACCCTATAGCAAAAATCTCTTGAAAAAAAGAAAAAAAAAAGATCTTTTGTGAATCAATAAAATGTGAAAAAAAATGTTTAGTATGAAAGGGAAGGAGGGGAAAGGAGAAGAAAAAATGGATAAAAGTATGCTTAATTGACAAAAAATGAGAAGCTATTTGCTGATGATAATGTATGCAGTAATATCCTTGTCTTGACTGAAATGTGTGGTATTTGTGTTGGAAAAAGAAATGTATACTGTAAAGGCATGTGATAAA